GGCTGTAGTGGTTCTGCATCGAGACGAACTTGGTCCAGCCGTGCGTCTCGGCCACGTGTTGCATCTGTGCAAACTGGTACGTCCACATGCTTGACGCGCCTGTTTGGTTTTTTTTTTTTGGGTCATCATTTAGACTTTTTCTTCTTTTTCTTGATTTTGGCTGTCCCTCTCTAAGCTCGATGGCAAAGCAGGGCCCTTTTTGCGGACCCCAGTGGTGCGTAATGTAGCAAGTGACAGAGACTTACCAATATACCGAACCTTTCCGCTCTGCACCAAATCATGCAACGCCTTCATGGTCTCCTCAATCGGGACCGTCGGGTCGAATCGGTGAATCTGCAACAGATCGAGATACTCGGTCCCCAGCCGCTCCAGACTGCCGTTTACGGCATTGAAGATGGCCGTCCGGCTCAACCCCTCTTGATTGACGTAGTCCTTGCTGGCCGAGATCTGTCTCGGGTAGCTAATGACGTGGACGTCCGGCTCTTCGCCCACGGGGCTGAAACACTTGGACAGCAGGACGACCTTGTGTCGAGGGATCTTGTGCTTTCTCAGCGTGTGGCCGATCATCCGCTCCGCCAGGCCGTTGGAGTAGACGTTGGCCGTGTCCCAGGTATTCAGGCCGCGGTCAAAGGCGCCCTTGAGGATCGCGTCCACTTCGTCCGGGTCGTCCAGGACCCAGGGCTGCCAGTCTTTGTGGCCTTGGGATGAAAGCATTCATCAGCATGGGAAAGGGACCCAACGGCAACAACAACAACAACATAAAAAGGCGTGGTGGAAGGTGAAATACCAAACGACATGGTCCCCAGAATGGGAATCGAGACACGGAGTCCCGAACTACCCAGTTGTGCATACGAGACCTGTGTCTTGTCCAGACTCTCCTGTAAAGATCGCGGTAGGACCACCGCCGGGGACGCCATGGTTCTAATCTGACTTGTTATTGGGAGAGGTGTTCAATATAGCCGGCACGATGGAGCCTGGTGAAGCCTTGAAGAAACACGCCCAACGTAGTTGAATTCTCGTATTTTACTCTCGCACAGAAAAAAAAAAAAAAGGCTCAAGCCAGTCTTATATCTGTGTCAATATGATTCGGCAACGACGCTTCCACCCATCAGATTATGTCTCATTGGGGGCATTGGAAAACCCGCATCACTTCTTACCACTCAATGCCTGTAGGGACTATTTTTCCTGAAACCTCCACCCGTGTCTACCCATCTTCATTACGAGGTTTTAGTTTCCAGTCAAAGGTAGGTAACCTCAAAGCCCGATCAGCCTGGGCACGGTTGTGAGAACAAAGACCCCTCCACTTCAACCGCCCAAAGTCACCATTAGTACCAGCCTCAAATCTATTGTTCCACTGTTCCATCTCCGGTCCGCAGTTCAAGTGTGGTCATCGCTTAGTGTTGGGGGTTGTGTTGTGTTGCTGTTCTTTGTAATCGCGGACCGAAGTTTTTGGGATCTCTCTCGGGCCGATGTGGAGGGACATCCTAGCCTTTTCAGGGGAGTGGAGAATCGGTTTCCCTGATTAGGTATAATGAATACTGCAAATCCGGGACTATTCTGTTAGTAGACTGGTTTTGTTACCAACGTGCCCCGTCTATTTCTGATAGAGAACTTGCTTGGTCTCACGTCTCCAACATGGATAATGTCCTTGTACCTACGTTGCAAAGAGCATCCTCGATTTCTAGCCACACACATCCTTGCAAATCTCCTCCCCCCCCCTGTCACCTCATTCGTCAAACTTGATCACGTTTCTCAACTTCCCAATCCCCTCAATCTCCACCACCACCTCGTCCCCGTCCTGCAAATACCGCGGAACCTTCATGGCCGCGGCCACACCACCGGGGGTCCCCGTCATGATCAAACTGCCCGCCTCCAGCGTCTGGCCCGTGCTGTAGAAGCTGACCAGCTTTCGAACGCCGAAACAGAGATCCGATGTGTCGGCGTCCTGCCTGAGCTCGCCGTTGACGTACGTCCGGAGCCGCAGGCCCGACGCGTCGCCCAGGACCTTGGGGCTCACGATGGCCGGCCCCACGGGGGCGTACTTATCGAACGACTTGCCGAAACACCACTGGGGCATCATGCCGGCTTTGTCCTTGTCGAGCTGCCAGTCGCGGCACGAGACGTCGTTCCCAACCACGTACCCGGCCACGTAGTCGAGGGCCTGCTCTTCGCTGACATTCTTGGCGTCCTTCCCAATGACAATGGTCAGCTCGCCTTCGTAGTCGCACTTGGATTGAGAGAGCTTGGGGACCGGGATGGGCGCACGCGTGTCGCCGACGGCCTGTCCGGGCTTGATGAATAGTGTCGGATTCGTGGGTATGTCCCAGTTCGACTCAATAACTAACGGGTTTTCAGTTAAGAAACACCCAAACTGCGGGGGAAAAAGCCTAGACTCACTATGAGTACGGTAGTTGAGGCCCGTGCAGCGGATGATGGGCACGTCTCTTGGAGTCAGGGGACCGAGAAGCTCCTTTACGAGATCCTCCTTCTCGTCGGCCGATGGTCCTGCTGCCAGCCAGTTGGATCCTTCCAGGGGCCGAACTTTCAGAGTCCCTTCCGCCACCAATTGATCAATGTCTGCTATCAAGTCCGCCAACGGCTCGCCATATCGTGTCTGACCAGTCTTGGCCGACACGTAGCGAACCAAGCGGTCCCAGTGGGTGAGAGAAGCATGGCTCGTGACCAGACCGTTGGTGTGGCCATTCACCTTATTCGTGTGGTAGAACTGAGTAAAGTCCACGAGGAGTCCCATGTCTTTCTGAATCTCAAATCAGCCTCATACCACCAACAACCCCGTACAGACACGTCAACACTGACCTTTTCAATATCATCAAGAACGCTAGCATCTTCGCGAGACTTGTCGAGCATGGCGAAGAAAGGGTCCTGACCACCGGCCAACGCCGCCGGGTCACTTCGTACGCGAGCAAGATTGGCCGTAGATACGGGATCGGTGACAGTTCTGTAGATCTCACGTCGAATCTGATCATATTGGTCGAGTATCTCGTAGCCCGCTTTGCCGTCATGGATTCCCTCGAGACAATCAGCCAATCCACCCACGTCTGAGATGCCGGTGGTGAGACCGAGACCACCCCTGAAAATCATTAGCCCTGGCATGAAGGGTCGACATGTGCCAAAGACGTACATGGGATTGTTCAGATGCGCAGCGTCACCTGCGAGCAGGATCCGACCAACCCGCATTTTCTCGGTACATCTTTGGTGCAGTTTGTAGGGGCTAAATCTTTCAATCGTGTACTGATCGGAGGTGGGATGCCCCGGAAGAATGCGTTGCAGCTTGGCCGGCATCCGCTCGTAAAGCTCGTCGTGGGAGAGCGAACCTTTCTCTCCGTATGAGACGCGCCATGTGCCTTGCTGGTCGATCAGAGCCACCACGGCCCAATGTTCACGGTCGACAATCCAGGATGTATCTTCCCAGCCATACTTTGAGAAATCGTAGCCGCGAATCTGGAAATCGAACACAAATATCAGCATATCAATCTTTTTCTCTGCTTTCTAACCACCGAACAAGAGGGAGAGCCACGTATTTACATTCGTGGCGACCATGATGGCATCCCAAGTGTGGCCTGGAAAACTGCTGCCAAACAAAGACTTCCGCACAGTCGATGTGCCACCGTCACAGCCGACGACGAAATCGCCTGCAAAATTTTTACCATTCTCACACTCGACCCAGGCTCTTCTTTCGTCCTGAAGAACAGCCGTCACTCGGTGGTTCCAATGAACCCGGGCGTTTGGGAACTGACTGAGTTCGTCGTAAAGGAGACATGCCAGGTCGTAAACCGGTAGACAGATAAAACCGCCTTTGTCAGGGTTTCTGTTCATGCCAGTCAGGCGGTTGATGACGGTGCCGTCCACCCTCCTCCAGGTGAATGAGTCGACGCACAGGCCCTGTTGGCGGATTCGGTCCAGGACACCAGCACGGCGGAGGACGCTGCGTAGTATTCATGTGAGTATCAGAGTCCACAAGAATACATGTAATCTGCTGGGATAGGAGGGCTCGAAACAGATATCTAAATACAATGTACGTACCTGACAGCCGCTGGACCGTATGCTGCACCACGCGGTCTGGAATCCACGGCGTCCTTTGCTTCTACTACCTCAACACTGATACCGTGCTTCGCGAGCATCAGGGCGAGCAGAAGCCCTGCCGGGCCGGCTCCCACAACAATAACCTTGGACAGGCTGGTGTCCTTCATTTTCTTTGCTCAGGACTGCACAATCAGAGGCCAAGCGAAAGGCTGATGGAAATCAAGAAGTAACGGAATACATAGAATCCCTTGTAGTATATGAAGCGTTTGGGGTTCATATGGGAAACCCAAATTCCCCACATTCCTTGGGTATATAGTACTGGGCAAGCTGGCACGGCGTGTTGGACTGGGCTCGGTCCGTATCATGTATACGGCCTGGCCAGCGTATCAGATGTAGGTGGACAAGGCCATAGAACACATTTCTGCCCACTGGAAAGCGTGCGAATCATGATCACGGACCGCGTGGGGGGCTTTCGGTCCGCAATTCCTCTCTGCACTATTCACTGGTTCAGCACTTCAACCAGGATCGTAATCTTGTTTTGACAAGTATTACTGGTTCAGTGAGGACGGCGACACATCAATTCCCGTTGAAGATGGTCAAGATGAGTAGTCTCTCTGTCGCAATCAGGTGATAGTTGGAGGAGCTCCTGGTCCATGGTCTGAAATGACTGTGTAAAATGTACATCGAGTCCTGCAAGCGGCCCGGCCTCTGTCGGGTCATCTCTGCTTCGAGGCTGAACTGCGCAACACTGGACGGTGCAACATTGAAAGTTTCGGATCATTCATCGAACGTCAGGACTTGATTCCGCACAATCAAAGTACATATAGCCCTAAATTAGGGATGTTGGAGAAGGAGACTTTCCCAAGTATTATCGTGTGTGCCCAAAGGGTCCAAGAATGGCAGCATATTCCAGTCGCCATCCACTGTTGTAAAGTCACCCTATATATGGTAACAGCTTAGCAAAGACCGAGACTGTTTGCCTTGAAATGCCCACTTACCTGACCTAGTGCTGCAGAAACCGACCGAGGGTGTGTATTCTGGGAGTTCCCGTTGTCTGGTCGCTTGCTCTGAGAATTCGTGCTTTGGGTCCCACGCCCATGGCTAAGTCTGGACGTCTGATCTTTATCGTGTCTTTTATTGGCAGCTTTGACGAATTTAGCAGCCAGGCCCACTGACTCTCTCGCTAAAGAGATGGATATTTCAGAAGAGGTCATGAAATCGATATACCCAAAATGGCCAGCACATATGTCAAGCAGGCCAAGGTCGGCGCTGGCGGTGGGAAAGGTCGGATACTTCAGCACATGGACAAACAAGCTCAGATGTGCATATATAGGATAAGTAACTGCCAGCCATGTAGGTGTAGCTGCATTTGTGGTTACTGTCCGGACGGCCAGTAACATCTTCCGGGCTGCCTCCGTCACCGTCTTTGATGAAGAATGTAGCTGCGCCTCCAAGCCAGCATCTGGACCACGATCGCAAAGCCGGGCGGAAAGCCAGGGGTAGAAAAAGTGCGAGTGAAGCGCCAATAAACTTCCATGGATTGCGAAGTAGAGATACAAGGTGTGGATACGATGGGCCATTGGATGTGTCTCCTCCGATAGTTTGGCGAGCGCACCAACCTGGAGGTCGTTCGGAAAATCATCAAGCAGGCTTTTGAGCTGTCGGTCAATGTCATTCACAACCCTAAGAAGGGCATGGGGAGATAACCTGTATGCCTTTGTTGACATGATTTCCCGAAGTATTCGGGAGCATATCTTTGCATGCCGAGCTGCCAGAGTGTTGGCTTCTAGATATATGGTACTGTTGGAAGGGACATGGGATGGGATTGATGCACGGATCATGTCGTCGTCAATCATCGACGGTCTTCCACTGACAAGACAGAAATGCTTTTCTAGCGCATAAACTGCCCACCACACCCATGTCTTTTTCAGACGGTCGTCTGACGAGGAACTCGTTCGATGGTCCGACTCATGATCAAGATGTAAGCCTTGCGTTAGTGCCGCATGCACCGCATTATGGCACAGCACGCGCTGAATGTCAGGGCTTCCAAGTCCTTCAACGTAACAAGCCTAAGGTTTCGAGGATCAGCTCCATCTTGCAAGTCAGGAAGGCTCATTACCATCAATGCCAGTGCTTGGACGACCATAAGTCTTGAAGGCGACAAGAGGAGTCCAGTCAAGACCGACAACGCGTTCACGAAATAGCCTTCCCAAGCCTCTTTTCGGACTGCATGGAATGGGATCTTCGCAGTTTTGAGCAATATGCTTCGATAACCAGCCGCAAACACGACGTTGCGGAGAGCAATCTCGGCATAATCATTTCCGGAGGAGGAATCGTCGAGAAAATGCGCTTGAAGCTGGGCTTCAAAGTCTGGGCGATGGATGAGACCCAAGCGAGCTTCCCAGCAATTTTCGAAGAATGCTGTGCAGGTTGTCATTAGACTAGGATCCTCACTGCTGCTGTTGTGTTGGTGCGGGAAGAACTCACCGTTGACATACTCCCAAGCGGTTTCCTCGCTCGGCTCTGCTCTCGCTGCGCCCAGGCTAGGCCACGGGCTGGTTGGAGTCCATGGCTGAAGGCTCCCACCGAATCTCTCTGCAATGTCGGCAAAAGCGAGGCTGGCGGTCGTCTCACACACCCATGCGACACCAGCATTAGAACAAGTTGACAGCCAGACCCGGGCGTCCTCCACCTCCGTCACGCTGCCCACTGGAGTATGTGAGCTATCAGAGATATCGACTCCAGCATGGCTCGCAGTTGCAGTTTTCTCCAAGGATGGCGATCCTGCCGAGAGGTGTGACTGTGCTGGACCCAACAAGCATTCGCTGTCTCGTGCTCTTGGAGCCCGTGAAGGTGATATTGAGTTCGAGGTCGCAGGGATGGTCGGGGTAGTAGTTATTGCAACACCTTCTCTTACTATACCAATAATATGATCGGCACCGGTTGATGAGGACGGCCTCTCGACAGAGGTACAGGAAGGATTTGATAAATCGTGTCTAGCTTCCTGGTCTTCTGACAGGGCCACTGGTGGCACCACATCTCTGCTAACAGCCGGATGATTGTGGTTGTCTCGCGTCGTCCTTGCCCTTGTCCGACGCTGCTTGGGTGGATAGACACATTCTGCTGACGACTTTGCACAATGTCTGCATGGATGGCCACCAGAGCCTAGAGGGAGTTTAGGCGAACAGCAGGTTTCAAATGACTGAGGGCCTAGCAACTTACATCTCACTTTCCGGAGCCTGCAAGCTCGACAAGCAATAAGTACTCTGTCACTTTTCTGCTTCTCCGACGGTGTAGGCATTGCACGTTGTGTTGCGCATCAATTGTGGTGCTGTTTGGATATTCGTCTAATCACACACAGAGACCGCATGGTGAGGAGGTGGGGGGCATTTTGGGTATGAGAAGAGAAAATCAGCCTGGGCGGCATCTGAGAGGCAGCTGGGAGGTGCTTGGGAACCCGCCTGAACCCCCAACTTGGCAACCTTCTCGGTGCTCTGTTCGTTAATCCAGCCTCGGTGGGGGCTACCATGTCCCTGGTGATGCCAATGCTGATGGTTACCTAAGATAATCTAGGGAATCAAGGAAAGTACCTAGGCGGTCACTAGTGGACGTCTAGCACCTCCGCGCCTCCACGTCAAGCCCCTCCGCACCTTGACTCTCTACCCCAGGGCACCGCCCTGGATGGCCTCAAGCCTCATACTTGGACGGGCTGCCCTGTCACCTGTTCTCGTATAGAGAACTTTACCGAGTGACTCTCACCAATTACCCCCTCTGCTTGCTCCTGCTACCCTCACAGTGGTTTTCTCCTCCTACTATAACATGTATCGGCTGTGAAATCAATATTATAAGAAAAGCAACCAGCATCACTCCAACTACTGTCCTCATGGATGACCCAGAATCCATCCATTTTGAATCCACTTCACATCCAAACGATCCAAGCTGTTCCTTCGACAGTCTCGGCTTCCCAGATATTCTTTTTGACGACGGAGATCTGTGGCCTCTCTCTGAAGGCTTCTTTGACCCTGCTGGAGACCTATCGGGCCTTGACACATTGCCTCAGATTGGGGCACCAGAATCTCTAGAAGAAAACGATGACTCGATACAAGACCTGTTCATCTTCCCTACAGAAAATCCGCCTCCCATCGGGGAATATCGCGGTACCAATTCAAATGAGGGCGCCGACGCAGTGACGCGTAGTCCTCACGACCTTGAAAGCGTAAGTGGCACGACGGACAGATCCAACTTCGATCAGGCATGATACTGATTTTCTGGACAGATACTTCCCAACCACTACGGTGCGTGTGTTCCATTTCGATACCTCTTCTCATAGTGACTTTGGCAGGGTTTGGATACTGGCTCTCAATCTGTTCGGGCCCGGGAATTGCGTGGATTTGCCAAAAACACAGATCCGACGAGTTTGCTGAAATCGCCGAGGAAATGAAAGCCAGCTGGGCGCGGCAGTTGAAACTAGAGCACACTCAGCCCATGTCTCAAAGCGCTGAGCCCGAGCCGTCACTTGCTTGGTTGTATTGCGAAGCCTATTTCGAGCGCTCAGTGGACAACCTCTGGGAGAGCGTCTATCGACCGGAATTCGAACAGCACTTACGGTCTCACCTTTCGGGGAAAGGACAGTGTGACGACCCTGCTTGGTACGCTCTGCGAAATGTTGTCTACGCTGGAGGCTGTCGGATGTATCGCTCCCAATTTCCAGAAGCCAACTCTTCCGACGTTCAAAGAGAATCCTGGAGCTATTTCTCCAATTCCTTGTCTGTTCATAGCGAATTGTTACTCACCAGACCAACAATGCTCTCAGTTCGAGCTCTACTGACAATGGTGAGCACATGAGCTGCTATAACTCGAAGAGAAGGTGCTAAGCATCGATAATCTCAGGCTCTGTTTGCAGAAGGTCTAGCAAGCCCAGCATTGAGCTCAGGCCTGGCGTCAAATGCAGCACTTCTTGCTCAATCCCTAGGTCTTTATCGGAAGCGAGTTGATGCCGACGCTGCTGAGCATTTGGAAGCGCTTCAGTCCACGTGGCTCTTCTGGGCGGTGTATTGCACCGAGAAACACATCGCACAGCGTTGTGGCCAACCTTCTGTAGGTGCGATCAGATCTTCGATGAGACTATCAGCTGATCCGTCTCCAAGTTGATTGATGATGATGACATTAGCTGCGACATACCCGAGAGAGTCCACCCTGGGAGCACTATTGAACTTGAGACGCTCACCTATATCATTCAGACCTGTCGGTTCTACCACCAGATCAGTAAGCAGATGCTCACTACCCGAGCGCTTGAAGAGCCTCCGGAGAGGATGCTCAGCCTCGTGGAGCAATTTGACAACCAACTCCAAGCGTGGAAAGAGTCAATACCGCTACAGCTCCGGCCCACCGATTTCCTAAAGCAATTCAAGATGCCAGGGAACAGGAAGCTTTTGGGACTAATGACGGCACATTGTTCCTTCTACGATCTTGTCATGGCGGCGCATTCTACTTTCCTATACCCATGGGTCATAGAATCGTTCTCCGAGTATGGAGATACAGAACTGGCTCAGCGGATCCAAAAGCAAATCCACGTCAGTTCGCATTTGGTCGCAAACGCCGCACGGAGTCTCATTGTCATCGTACGGAGTCTGGATATGGACAGTGTTGGTACCCAATCGTGAGTGTTCAGCACTGACGTCTATCCGACATGCTGCTGAAACCACTTTCTCAGGTTTGCGTTACATTTTCCCATGCGGGCCTTTGTGAACCTCTTCGTCTTCGTCCTCCAGAACCCGCGATCGCCTTCGGTCCAGTCAGACCTGGCGCTCCTGGACGTGGCGGCGGGGTTTTTCGGCCAGATGGAATTCATCACAGGGTCCAAGATCAGTTTCCCGTTTGCTCGAGACATTGCGGCCCTCGCTCGAAGCGTCGTTGCCGAAGCCCAAAGAACCTCATCTGAAGTCTCTGGACAGATGACTCGCAATGTCCAAATGAGTATTTGACCGACGAGACACTTGCATATTCTAGGTAATTTTTGAACTACCTCACTACACGGACACAAGTTCATGGCGTTGCAGTGATGCAATGGAGGCGTCAAGGCAGGAGTGCCAATATCGATTTGGAATATTGGATCAATACCACTAGCAAGCGACTTGATTGCACTCTCTCCAACCACCAGGCCGGCAGCCCTGAATACTTTTGAAATGGCTCCACGGGCCAGGATTCATCATGCGGCAGTCTTGCCCAATTTATCCACACCTTGACGGCGACAAGGGAGTCCTACATCCGGCAGAAGCAGCTCGATCGTCTAAACGTGCGCCAGAATTGGTTGCCCAGCCGCACCTGGCTCGATCGGCTGATAATAACGAACCCGGGGGCCTTTAACCGGATCCTGGACGACGATGGCGCGGCCGATGAACTCGAGCGCCGTCGCCTTTCCACCAAGTGGCTTAACGATGGCCCCTCCCACGATCAACAGATCCAAGTCCTGTCCGTCGTCGGCATCGTTGAAATAGATCTTGCGGAGCTCGTGACTTCGAATCTCAAATTTTTCCCAGATGCCGTCGCGTGACGAGGCGATGTCTGTATTTAACACCAACAAAAAAACGTATCAGACACGGAATTCCATGATATCTCTCTGAATTCTTGCCGTGTTGGGCATGGCAGGAGCGGGTTATGGAGGTGAATGTAACGCAACCAATGTACAGACAGGACGTACCTTGTCCCTGAAAATATCCCGACGACGAGAAAAACTTTGCGTCCTCGGTGAACACTTCTTGGACCAGCCGAGAGCCAGCCTGTGGCGATTTGCTATCGAGCAGTTGGAAGAGCAAGTCTACCAACGTCCTCACCTCCCCTTTGAGGCTCGCGGGCCAGCTGACGCCGACACCGACACTGGCGTTGAGGGATGTTGACATTTGATGAGACGAATGAATCTTTTGATTCGACAGATATAGGATATCTCGAAGGCTATGCTATGTATGACAAGCAACGATTGTTGTATCTATTTTCCGCATATAATTCATAATATATCATATATCGTGGCCAGCGGAAGTATACAACTAATTCCCATCCATCGTCGATGGGTTTCGGGCCGAGAAACGCGTGCAGTTCATTGGATATTTGTGCAAAAAGCTACCCACAAGTCAATATGCCGAATGTTCAAAGCGAGCAGCAAGCTTGTTGTTAACGGGTCTTTCTGTCAGGACCATAACCTTGGACTGTAGAGACTTCGAGTCACAATCATACAAAAAGACTTGACTGCAAATGTAATATATCGAATAGGCAGCATCTGTGGCTCGGAATTGAATCACGTCGAACTTCTACTCGGCCCCAGCAGAAAAAGAATACATCTCGACAGCCTTGCGTTGCGGTTGGTCCTGCACCTTGGTATGTACGTCCTATATGGTCTTCACAGTGCAGCATACTACCCGGAAGAGCTTCAGTGTCTCAGTCTCGCAAGACACCGCCCCTGGCGCGGAGCTTCTCGCCGTAGATCTGGAGCGCCAGAATGATCAGCCCCCCGGACGCGACGATGGCGGCCTGCACACCAAACGAGACGTCGAACCCGGATCGCAGGCCCCAGCCCTGTTGGAAATACCCCACGGAGAAGCCGCCGATGATGCGTGCAAAGTTGAACCACGCCGACACTTCGCCGGGAGCGTTGCGGTAAGAGTCGAGCGCGTAGGCGAACAGGGGCACCGAGAACATCATGACCGCGGCGGTGTACATGGCCCAGCCGAAGGCGACGGCGACCCACGACAGGTGCTTTTCCAACGCCTGTCCGACGAGGATGAGGCCCGGGACGGTGAGCAAGAGGGTCAGGTAGACTGGGGGCAGACGAGCTTCGGGCTTGAAGACCCCGTTGTGCTGACGGACGTAGCGAGTAGTGGTCCACTGGATAGAGATATTGGTTTTGTTTTTCAGCATTCACTTTCCATCTTGCCCATATGTCTTGATGTGGAAAAAAGTCGATATGTTTATTTCGTGAAATGGCATGAACAAGGATGCAAAAGAAAGGAGGGAGGGATGAAGAAACTCACGTCGTTGATGAAATGACCCAGCATCTCACCGATCAGCACGGCAATAATCGGCGCAAAATACAAGTAGCCCGTAGAATTCAGGCTCATGCCATAGCCACCCGCTGACACGGGTTCGGCGAAGAGGATGGCGGACGACTGGTTGATGCCGATCGCCCACATACAGCTCAATAAGCTGGATTTTGGACCGCGTTAGCACGCACCTATGGGGCTCAAAAGGAGGAGAGGGGTTTCCAATGCGAGGGGACTAACTAGAATGCCAACAACGGGATGATGATGGGTTTGAGCAAGATCTCAAACACGCGGAGGAACGAGCTTGTAAAACTGGCAAAGTATCGACGGTGGACCTGGAGCTGCCACCAACCGACGAGTCGCAGGATCCTGGTCCCACGCCGGGGTTGCTCTGACGGCGGCAGGTCCCTCCGATAGAAGGATTCGTCGAGGAAGAGCGCCAGACAGAGCAGAACCAGGGCCTCCAGGCCAAACACGACCCAGAACGTGGCTCTCCACGACCCCGTGGCGGCAATGATGTACGAGCCAAACATGGGCGAACAATAGGGACAGACCTGCACGGCGAAGATCCAGATGCCGATCTTCCTCGCCTGTTCGTGGAGAAAGAAGACGTCTTGGATGAAAGCCAGACCGACCGCGGGGCCGGAGCTGAGGAAAACCCCCATCAACGCTCGGAGACCGTAGTATCCGGCAAAGTTGGGGACGAGGCAGGTCGCCAGAGTGAGAAAGGTGCCGATGAAACTGGTCCAGAACAGCACGGGAGCCCTGCCCCAGAAGTAGATCAGAGGAATCCAGACGAGTCCTCCGATCCCACTGGGAAAGAATACAGTCAGCCCAGCCTTTTCAAGGGGATCGATGGGTTTCACAGGGGATCCAGCAAAGACGTACTTCATCAAAACATTGAGATTCCCGGCGTAGTTGATGTGGACGGGGGAGAGATGCCACTCAACGCCCTGGAGACCGACACTCGGGACACCCGCGGCTGTTTGATAGTCGCTTTGAAACGCCGCAAGGCTGATGGCGAGCAGGAGGAGATTCTTCTTGAGATCGGACCAGTTCAACGGGTCATTGGGATCATCCGTGGGCTGTGGGACGAGGACAGTCTGTAAGAGGAGGGAGAGCGTCAGTCATTTCATTATTGGGGCCGGGTAGGGAGTCACTGACATGGCCATCCCTGGTCAACTTCAAATTGGTTCCTCCTGATCGCCCCTTGACGTGGCCAACGTCAAGGAGTACAGCGCCGTTGCCTTGTTCGACGACGACAGCGCCGGGCACGCTTTGGCATTCTTCAAGCTCGACAGCTTTGCCTTCTTCAACATCGTCGTCCTTACCTGCTCGAGGCATTCCCATGGTGTGATGACACGGATCTCGCTTTTGACTGCGAGAATTAAAAGAAGCTCAGAATGCCACGGTGAGTATTAGCCAGCCAGCCAGTGAGCAAGCGAACTTTGGTGGAGATTCCTTTTATATGGGCGGAACATCAGATTTCGGTTGCACCTCCATACTTGTAGTAAACGGCAAGATATGGAGAAGCCCCGAGTCTTGTGGAGAGAGGGAGAGTAAAGTCCGGGGTCGATCCGGGGTATTACCACGCGCGAGTGTCTGCGTCTCTGTGTCTCTCCCGCGACGTCTGGGCCTGGGGTATTTCGTCGTCTCTTCGGGCCGACAGAAATTGACTGGCCTGCGGGCCGAGAGCGAGAGCGACCACTCAGAATCATGCCTTCTTTTTACCTCGTACACAAAGTCATGTATCTCCGTGAGTCGGAAACTGGTCATGGCACGTGGCATTAATTGTCCTCACGGGCCGAAATACAACATTACTTGACCGGCTCCAGAGGTGCCAGGACGGAGGCTCCCGCACCATCAGTGATTACCTTAGGTAATCATATCCTTTCTCTATTCGTGTATAGAGCAGGCATCTAGCTATATTTAGACTAGCTTCACTACACGTGGCCACTAAATGTAGTATAGCTCCACTACGACGCCCTTGATGCCCTACCTTGTAAGGCTCAGTAGTCGACACGTTTTACCTCGTAGATAAAACAGAGCTGGGATGTCCAGTTGCCTGTTACTTGGCGGGACAACTTGGTAATTGATAGCTTGGCGATTTGCCCTATAAGAGTTATGATACCGACAGGCATATACCTCATCACTCTAGTGACAAGTCACAGGAGTAAGTCACCCCTTACCACTTAGGGCAGTCGACTTTGTACGGGCTCACATGTAATCGGGAGTCCTATTCCGAGGACCAATTTCCTTCCTGGTCTTGATCCGTCTGGCCTCATCTTTCGACAGTCCTTCACTGCCATCAGGCAGCATCTTGGCCAGGATCTCAGCGGACCATTCTTCGGGGTCGAAGTCGGTGCCGATCGGGTTCTGCACGAACAATGAACTCCTCATGAATCGGTCGGCCTCGTCAGGGAGGTCGAAATTGTCCACTTGGAGCTCGACTTTGTTCCCGTCGGGATCCTGGTAGTACATGCTCGTGGTCATGCCGTGATTGACGCACCATATGGGGACGATGGGCTTCTCTCGCTCCTTCAGCGCGCGATACGTCCGTGCCAAATCCGTCAATGTGGCGTATGTATACGAGGTGTGGTCAAGCCCGGCGGTGTTTGGGCTCGCCTCTCGTGGTGTGATTTCGGGCTTGCGGACAATGGCTATTCGGTGGTGCTCATCGTCATATCGCAGCATGGCAAAGTAATCTGCTTCGAGGATGACCTCGGCCTGCAGCATGTCCACATAGAAATTCACCATGCGCCGATAGTTGTCCTCGGTTGTTTTTAGGACCACATGAGCAAAAGCAGAGGGGCTTGGGTGTGACCGCTTCGTTGGCTCTGGAGTAAGAGTGTTGTTAGAATAGCTGTCACTCTGATCTAAAGTCTTCGAGGGCGACATGGTGCGAGGTCCGGGCTCGGCAGGGAGACAACTGCACCAATGATGAAGATAGG